ATGATTTTTCCTTGATTCTATGGATTAATTAAAAGCCACATGTACTTCATAACTGAATTTATATTTTATTTTATTAAAAATTTTTTTAAATGTTTTATTTATTTCTGAGAGAGAGAGAGACAGCGTGAGCAGGAGAGGGTCAGAGAGAGAGGGAGATATAGAAACTGAAACAGGCTCCAGGCTCTGAGCTAGCTGTCAGCACAGAGCCTGACGTGGGGCTCGAACCCACCAACTGTGAGATCATGCCCTGAGCCGAAGTTGGATAGTTAACCAACTGAGGCACCCAGGCGCCCTTATGTTTTAGAATCTGTTTCATACCACAAAGCCATGACCGGTGTGTATTTTTCAGGGGTATTATCTTTGATGAAGGTGGAAAGTTTTCATTAAATTGGCTGGCAACTACTCATAAAAGCATAAATAATTGATGTAGACGTTTGTTCAGTTAAAAGTTTTAGTTAGAAGAAATATTGTTAGATATATATTAAAATAATATTTGTCACTTTCTATTTACTTTTTAGGTATACCATTTATTCTCCAAAAGATGGACAACCTTGTATGGATCATGATAGGCAAACTGGAGAGGTAATTATTTGTGATGTAGAGTAGCTATTATAATAATTCTCACTATGGCCATAGAGTTTATGGACTAGATCAGGAACCTAAAAATAATTTTATTCCAGTGCTGAGGTATATTCTGGGGGCTGTGAAGAAGGAAACAGAATGTTATTGTAAGGGTCTGTGTCTTGTTTAGGACCTTATTATGCCAAAAGTTCTGGTACCAGCTGTATCTCATCTGCCTGTGATAGAAAAGCACATTCTTGGGCCTCATCCCCAAATTGCTGAATCAGAAGCCCTGAGGGTGGAGCCCAGGAATCTGTCTTTAATAAGCTCTCACTGTGACTCACATGTAGGCTCATGTTTGAGGAGCGCTCCCTGGAGAATACACTGCTCTAAAAAGAGTATGGGGCAAGGAAATGAGATATGTGGCTAACTGATATACACAGATTCGTTTTATACTTGCTTTGATCATGTGCTTCCTTGCCTATTTCTAAAGCACCTCTAGCCATGCTGACATCAGTTCTTTCTGCATTCCTGTAAGACACATTAGTAACATTATTCTTTGTAATACTTGAGTAAAGCCCGGGTCATTTGCCTAAAGCCGTGGCGCAGTAAATCAACAACAATACCAGAATCTGAACTTAGGATTCCCTATGAGTGCATCTTCCTTTATTACCATCTTTGAATGCATCTGTAGTCTAGCGACTGCTTTTCAAAGTTAGCATTCAATTATGGTGCAACTTATCTAACAAAAAGTGAGAATTGATCAAAATTTTGAATTCATAAGACCCAGTTTACTGACTGTATTAAGTTTTAATATGGTCAACACCAGCAGTTTCCTAAATTCCGGTAGTATGTCAGAGGGTTTTCAAAGCTATTTATTTGTCTTTTGTGTTCTTTGGGATAGTCCCGTGTGAGTCACAGTACAGTTATATTATAGTTGAAGAAATGCAGTCTCAGAGAGACTGTGACTCCCTTGGATCAAGGTATCAGTAACAGCCCAAGCTAGGCTTTGAGTGCAGGTGCTCTGGCCCCTGGTCCAGTGTATTTCTTTTTTTTTTTTTTTTTTAAATTTATTTATTTATTTATTTATTTCTAGGACAGAGAGAGAGACAGCATGAGCAGGGGAAGGTCAGAGAGAGAGGGAGTCACAGACTGAAACAGGCTCCAGGCTCTGAGCTGGCAGTCAGCACAGAGCCCGACGCGGGGCCCGAACCCACGAACCGCGAGATCATGACCTAAGCGAAAGTCGGATGCTTAACCGACTAAGCCACCCAGGCGCCCCAGGTCCAGTGTATTTCTATGATGCCTGCTCTACGGGATTGTTTGATTACATACCCTGACTCCCATTTTGGTAAACACCATTTTGGGTGATTACTCTAAGTCACTCCCCTCCCCTCCCCTCCTCCACTCTCAAGTGAGTTCTTAGCAAACTGTCCTTATTTGTAGAATAAGGACTTCCTTTACCAGTTCTGATTTGGTGTGGAGTGGGAGAGTGGTCTTTCAAGTCACTTCTTATACATGAGACTTTATGTGAATGTAGTCAGCTCCCTCATGGCTGTCTCCTCATTGTAAGAAAGAATTATTCTAACAATGCAAGAATCCATCTAAGAAATTTGAATCCAATCACTCACTTACATGAGTGGGTTTAATTCAAATCTTTTTTCTTCTCAAAGTTTTGTTTGTTTTATTTTGTTTAGGGTGTGGGACCTCAGGAATATACTTTAATCAAGTTGAAAGTGCTTGAGCCGTACCCATCCAAATTAAGGTAGGTTTGCCAAAGAGTTACTGCTTTATCTTTCTGAAATAACAGATGCAAGAGAATCCACAGCACTTTCTTTGCATACACATATATATTTTTTTCTTTGTAGTGGCCTGAAAGGGAAAAATACCTTCTTGGTAGCTGCTACTCTCAGGCCTGAGACCATGTTTGGACAGACCAACTGTTGGGTTCGCCCTGATATGAAGTACATTGGATTTGAGACGGCGAATGGTGATATATTCATCTGCACCCAGAGAGCTGCCAGGAATATGTCCTACCAGGGCTTTACCAAACACAATGGCGTGGTGCCTGTTGTTAAGGAATTAATGGGGGAGGTGAGTTGGGTGGCAGATTTCTTATTTTAGTGCTTAAATTTAGAGGAACATTTCATCTATTACACTTGAGAAAAGAACATTGAAAAAAAATTTGTAATTGAGGAATACATGCAATGTGCAAATCGTAAGGTCTCTATTCTGGTGCAGTTTTATTACCTGTGTACACTCCCATAAGCACCACTCTAATCAAAGTACAGACCAGTTCCGGTAGTCCAGAAAGTGCTCCCACATCCATCTTGCAGTCGGTACCCACCCCTCTCCCGCACAGGTAACCACTGCTCTGCCTTTAGTCACCAAAGATTATTTGCTGTTGCTGAACTTTATGTAATTGAATTATATAATCCGTACTTTTTTGTGTCTGGCTTCTTTTTCTCAGCATTATGTCTTCAAAATTCATACATGTTGTGTGTAGGAGTAGTTTTGTTCTTTTTTATTGCTGTGGAGTATTCATTGTGTGACTATATCACCATAGCATTTTTGACTCTTACGTTTCAGTTCAGTAAGTGTCTGCTTGAAAAATATAGATAGTCCTCCCCAAGAGATTTAATGGTTGCAGTGGAATATGATTACCTGTGTTCCTGTTATAGAATTGCAGCTATTTTTTTTCTGAAGAATCTTGGTTGATGGTAACTAAATCTGGACAGTTACATAGCTTTGATCCTTACACTTTATTTGCTTACTAGAATTTCAGGATATATTTTATTCCCTTTTGTAAATGCTAATCTTAGGTATCTTGATAAATAACATTTAAAAAATTTTTTTTAATGGTTATTTAATTTTATTATTGTTTTAATGCTTTTTTTTGAGAGAGAAAGACAGAGCATAAGCAGGGTAGGGGCAGAGAGAGAAGGAGACATAGAATACGAAACAGACTCCAGGCTCTGAGCTGTCAATTTGGGGCTCGAACCCACGAACCGTGAGATCATGACCTAAGCCAAAGTAGGACGCTTAACCGACTGAGCCTCCCAGGCGCCCAGTGCATCTTGCTTTCTTGTTTTTCTTTTTTACTTAGCTGTGACTTGGTATTTGCCTTATGGTGCATAGCTTCCTAATACCTTATTTGCAACCACATAAGGAGTCCATTATGTGGCCATACCTCAGCTTATTTAACCACTCTTTTTTATGGATATTTGAATAGTTTCCTGTCGTTTTCTGTTACAAGCAGTGCTGCCACATCTCATCAGCTGTCAGAGTTGTGTCTGAGAGGTTTTTTGTAATACTGTTAATGACACAGATTTTTCCTGTTCCTAACACATTTTCTTTCTGTGTAAATTTGAACAGATTCTGGAGTGAAGAAAATGGGTGGTATTAATTAAAAAATAGCTTTTAACTCTTAAGACTGTTAGGATATTTGGCCTTCACCCACATGACTGTAGGTTCCATAAAAACAGCTTCTCTTTGAATAACGCGGATGGCTGGGAACTGTGTGTGTGGAACTGAAAAGTGCAGTCCTTGGCTCAACAAAGAGCTGTGTTTTGAGAGTATGGGTTCAGTATTGTTGAATCTTTGGATTTTCTTTTTTTAAGAGAAACTAGATGTATGTTTTTCATTCAGCTTGTCTTCCTAGTCTTTATTTATTTACTTATTTTTATTTGAAGAGAGAAAGCAAGTTGGGGAGGGGCAGAGAGAGGGGGAGACAGAATCCCAAGCAGGATCTGTGCTTTCAGCACAGAGCCCTATGTGGGGCTTGAAATCACCATGAGATCATGACCTGAGCCGAAGTCAAGAGTTGGACGGTGAACCAACTGAGCCCCCTGATCATTGTTTTAAATGGATATACAGTATTTTATTTTGTTTATATCTCATATTTTGTTAAATGATTTTTCTGTCATTTAAATTTCAGCTTTTTTTTTTTTTTCCTTTTGAGGTAGATTCCTAGACTGGATTGCCCGGTCCAAGTTGTGTGAACGTTTGTGTATGTGTCTGTCGCTATGATTCTTAGATCGTTTCCCTGAAGGGGTACAATGTCACCAGCAGTGTATTAGTAAACTCATTTCCTCACAACCTTACCACATCACATTTGGGAATTATAATTATTTACAACTATTTTTAGTCTAGTATGTATAAAATAATGAGTTTTGTTTAACTTCATTTATTTTTTGAATGTTAGCTTCTCAGGGCTTAAAAATATTAACACTTTGAAATTGAGTGGTTAAAATAAATTTTTTCACCTTTTATGATGATTTTTTTTGCTGCACAGGAAATGCTTGGTGCATCACTTTCTGCACCTTTAACATCTTATAAGGTGATCTATGTTCTTCCAATGCTCACCATTAAGGAGGATAAAGGTAAAGAGTTTCTTTCTTTCTTTCTAGAAGTACTTTGGTGATTGCGTTCTGATTGTATTGATTCATTCCATACTTTATTTTATAAGGCACTGGTGTGGTCACAAGTGTTCCTTCTGACTCTCCTGATGATTTTGCTGCCCTTAGAGATTTGAAGAAAAAGCAAGTGAGTATCTGAGTATCATGTTCTTATTAATTCTTTATCATCTCATTACGTACCACTGAACACAATCTGAAATGAAAAAGCTATCGTATCTTTGAACTATTATTTCTACCTTGTTTCTAGGTTTAATATATTTTCCTTGGTTTGAATTTGAAACATACGACTTCTAGAGTTAGGTGTACAATAAAATGGAGAGGAAGGTACAGAGATTTCCCATATTCCTTGCTCCCAGACATGGGCAACCTCCTTATCAACATCCCCCACCAGAGTGGTGCATTTCTTACCACGGAGTAACCTACACTGATGCATTATAATCCCCCAAAATCCATCGTTTACTTTAGGATTCAATCGTTGTGGTATATATTCTTTGGGTTTGGGCAACTGTATAATGACCTAGATTCATCATTATAATATCATATAGAGTATTTCACTCTTAAAGTCCCATGTGCTCTTTCTGTTCATCTCTCTCCTTTGTGACCGTGCTGTCAGTGCAGAGCCCGATGCAGGCCTGATCTCACAAACCATGAGATTGTGACCTGAGCTGAAATCAAGACTTGGACACCTAACTGACTGAGCCACCCAGGCGCCCCTTGTCTTTTAATTCTTGATACTGTCTTTTGCAGAGCAGCTTTTAACGTTACTGAAGTTTAATTGTCACTTCTTTCACAGATTGTGTTTTTGATGTTGTGTCTAAAAAGGCACCACCATAGCCATGGACGTTTAAGTTTTCACCTATATTAGCTTCTAGGAATTTTATAATTTTGTTTTATAACTAGGGCTGTGATCTTTTTTGAGTTAATTTTTATGACAGCGTAAGTTCTATGTCTGGATTTTTTTTTTTTTTTTTTTTGCATGGGGGTGTCCAGTTATTCCAATAACATTTGTTGAAATGACTGTCTTTGAATTATTGTATTGCTTTTGCTCCTTTGTCAAAGATCAGTTGACTGTCTTTATGGGTATTTTTGGGCTCACTGTTTTGGTCCACTGAACTATGTGTCTCTTCTTTCCAGCACTGCACTGTGTTGATTACTGTAACGTTATAGTAAAGTCTTGAAGTCAGATAGTGTCTGTCCTCCAATTTGTTTTTTCAGTACTGAGTTGACTATTCTGGGTCTCTTGCTTCTGTATACAACTTTGCAATCACTTTGTTGATATTCATAAAATAACTTGTTGGGATTTTGGTTAAGATTGCACTGAATCTGTAGGTTAAATTGGAAATTGGGAATAATTGACATCTTGACAGTACTGAATCTTCCAGTCCATGAACATGAAGTATCACTCCATTTATTTAGTTCTTTGATTGTGTTCATAGAGTTTATAGTTTTTCTTATGTAGCTCTTACATATGTATTGTTACTTTTGCACCTAAGAATTTGATTTTGGAGGGAATGCTAATATCAGTGGTGGTGTGGGGTTTTTTTGTTTTTTTTTTTTATGTTTTATTTATTTCTAGGAGAGAGAGAGAGAGACAGCTTGAGCAGGGGAGGGTCGGAAAGAGAGAGGGAGTCACAGACTGAAACAGGCTCCAGGCTCTGAGCTGGCAGTCAGCACAGAGTCTGACGCGGGGCTCGAACTCACGAACCGCGAGATCATGACCTAAGCGAAAGTCGGACGCTTAACCGACTAAGCCACCCAGGCGCCCCAGTGGTTTTGTGTTTTTAATTCTGAAGTCCACCTGTTTATTTTTAGTACATTGGAGTACAATTAAATTTTTTTTAAGTTTATTTATTTATTTTCAGAGAGAGAGAGAATAGTAAGTGAGGGTGGGGCAGAGCGAGAGAGGAAGAGAGAGAATCCTAAGCACAGCTCTGTGCCGTGCAGAGCTCGATGTGGGGTTGAACTGCGGAACCATGACCTCAGCTGACATCGAGAGTTGGTTGCTTTTAACCAACTTAGCCACCTGAGTCACCCCTGGAATATAATGAACCTTGTATATTAACCTTGTATCTTGCAGCTTTGCTATAATTGCTTATTAGTTCCAGGAGTCTTTTTCTTTCATTCTTTTGAATTTTCCTACATAGATGATCATTCCATCTGCAAACAAAGACAGTTTTATGCCTTCCTTCCCAATCTGTATGCCTTTTATTTTCTTTTCTTCCCTTAGTGCAATGGCAAGGGCTTTCAGAACAATATTGAAATGTTGAGAGAGAACATCCTTGCCTCATATCTCATCTTAGTGGGAAAACGGAATTTTTCATCATTAAGTATGATATTAATTATGGGGTTTTTTTTGTAGATAGTCTTTATCAAGTTTTAGAAGGTTTGCATCTATTCCAGTTTACTAGGAGTTTCTTTCAGAAATGGGTATTGGATTTTTTCAAATGCTTTTCTTGCATCCCTTAATAGGATCATGTGATTTTTCTTTTTTAATGTTTTGATGGATTCCATAAAACTTAAAAAAGTTCTGATGTTCGTATTCACATTTTCATTGCAACCTAGAATATGAACTACATTTTCAGTGTGTGTGTGTGTGTGTGTGTGTGTGTGTGTGTGTGAGAATTTTTTGCTTTTGGCTATTTTTTAATCTTTTTAATTTATTATTATTATCTTTTTTTTTTTGAGAGAGAGAGAGCATGAGTGGGGAAAGGGCAGAGAGAGAGGGAGACACAGAATCTGAAGCAGGCTTCAGGCTCTGAGCTGTCAGCACAGAACCCGACGCTGGGCTCGAACCCACAAACCGTGAGGTCATGACCTGAGCTCAGGTCGGACACTTAACCAACTGAGCCACGCAGGCGCCCCTTTTGGCTTCCTACTTCATCATTTAAGCAGTTCGCTCTAATTTAAACTGTTGAGTTTTTTAGTGTCATAGATCTCTTCCTGAGATGTTTGGTAAAATAAAACAATTTCCAGATGAAGGGGAGAACGAATAGTTTATATTTTAAAGTATTTATTTAGGAGAACAAATATTTTTTAAAAAGTTTTGTTTGAGTTTGTTCTCTCACTAATTATGCCAATAGCCCATAAAGTGTTGATCATTAGTGTTAATTTGCAAAATTATTTTGCAGGCCTTACGAACAAAGTACGGAATTAGAGATGACATGGTCTTGCCATTTGAGCCGGTGAGTGTACTGAGGACTCGGAATCTTCATACCCTTCTCTTTATCACTGAAAAAAAGAGCTAGCATTTTCCTTGTAACAAAATTAAATAATTGGTGGATATAAAAATAAGAGGGAGTTTGGCATAGATTCGTTTACTTGAATTTGTTATCTACTGAGGCAGTTAAGAGTGAGAGAAAGACTAACAATAAACATTTTCTTAGCACCGGCACCTGCAATTCTGGAACAAACAAACAACTTTTTTAGCATCGCTGGTTTTGTAGTAGCCTATTTTGCTAGCAGGGCCAATTTCCAAGCCTCTAAAGACAAAATTTTGCCGTGTTAGCCATGACTGTTTATGTTTTCATATTAGTATCTGGAGAAGAGGAAAAAAAAATTTAATTACCAGCAAATAACTTTCCTGAAGAATCTAGAAGACTTCTTCTAAGCCAGAAATAAGATCATCTGTAGATTTAGTTTTTCATATCGTTTTACTAGTTTCATAATTTATTATTTAGTTAATGATATGCCAATACAGGGTTGTGAGCTGGGGAAGGTGTGTTATATAGTGAGGAAGGGACAATTTAGGGGTTGGTGCAGAGAATTTGGGTAGGTTCTGTGGAGGAGAGTAGGAAGACCACTACACATCTGGTTGTTGGTCACTGTGATTATCTAATGTGGTGCTCTTGTAATGATATATAAAATCTGAAATGACTTCATTGGATAGTAGAGGCCAAAGAACTGTGCACCCCAGGGCTGTTTTTATGGTCATTCAATGTGAATAAGTTCCTGAAATTGCTGTTCTTTGCAGGTCCCAGTCATTGAAATCCCAGGTGTTGGAAATCTTTCTGCTGTAACCATTTGTGATGAATTGAAAGTTCAAAGCCAGAATGACCGAGAAAAACTTGCAGAAGCTAAGGAGAAGTTATATCTAAAAGGGTTTTATGATGGTGTAAGTAATAAGTTTTTGGTTTTGCTCTGTAATTTTTTCAGTGACTTAGAAAAAATTAGAAAATTTCAATATAGCTTCACCTATATACTGATTTGAGACAGATTAATATGAGATTGTGTTCTCCTGTTTCCAAATTTACTTAATCTATTTTTTGTCGATTGCATTTATAGAAATTATGTATTTGTGCCCTTTAGGAATCTCTAAGAAATGTTTCTTGAGAAGATTATTTAAAGTTAGTTTATGTTACTATGCAGTAAGTTTCATAGGTTTATTAAATGGACAATACCTAATCCCTTTTGCTTTTTTAATTGAGGAGTTCCTGTTTCAAGTAAGCAGTTTTACTCAATTAATTTACTTGTTAATGCCCACGAAATGCCAGGGTAGCACAACAGACATGGTTTGAACCTCTCTTTTCTCCTTAATTGTGCATGTGTTAATGTGGCTTACACATTTCCATGGGAAGAAGACTAGGCTAGAGAAAAAAAAATCAAAAGTTGCTAGTGACTTGAGGTTGAAATTAAGATTTTTAAGGCTATACATGAGAATTCTTCATTTTTACCTTTACTCTAATTTCTCTAGATAACCAACAAATGGTTATTATGTGCCTTTTTAAAAAGAGATTTATACATTTTGGGTGGTAACAAAAGCCATCCCTTTTATAAATAGCACTTTTGTGTTAACTTATTATCTCAGAATAACCTTGTGAAGTAAGCCCTGTTATTCCTGTTTTACAGACATTAAGTAATTTACCCGAGATCAGCAGATAGGTAGCCAGTGACAGAACTGGCCCTCACACTTGGGCAGCTTGGCTCCAGGGTTTGTGCTCTTAACCACTTTATGAACATGATCAATAAGTATAATAATTTCATAGTGGTGAATTAAATACATGTGAGCACTTCGGCATGTTAGGGGATTGGAAGGTCGAAAAACTTATGTCTTTTCCATTTAAGATAGAAACTATTTCAGAGAGAAACAGGAGTCACATAGCTGGAGGTCAAAATATCTGCCGGAAGGGGATCATGTGGCTTGGATCTGAGACAAACATGGACAAGCCAATACCCAGCCCTAGAATTAAATTTCCTCACTACGTAAAACGCAGAGTTGGAAAAACCAGCCTTCCTATAAGGGCCGGTCTTATCACATGGCCAAGCGAAGGAAAATGCTGACTGGCAACAGGCAGAATTGGAAACAGAAGTCTAACTGGGGCTGGGCTGCGTGAGCTCCGTTCATTTCCCCAAAGCCTTCAGGAATGAGCCGAGTGAGCCGACTGAAATTCTCTCCACGTGGAAATCTGAGAAGTGGGAAGGAAGCAAGAGTTCCTTCCTAATCTTGCTCATGATAGCTATCCTAGTTAAGGCAAAAGAAAAACAAGTATGTTATATATATTAGTCACCCAAGTTATGGCAAAATAAAAACTTAAGATTACAAACGTGGTAGATTGCACACTAAAAATTTCTTTGGTTGTGGATGGAGATAAATGTAGTTAGGGA